GCACCTGGAAGCCCCACCCCCCAAAAAAACCAGCCCACTGTGGGCTTTGGTGTGCTAACAGGCACCACAGTTAGCCTTTTGTCCTAGGCCTCTTTTGGACCTGACACTGAGGAGTTTTCTTACCTGAGTCACCTACCTAAGAAAAAAGTTAAAAAATATTACTTAATTAAAAATCAGTATGCTGACTTTCAGCCTAAATCAATGATATCCAGGCATCTGGAACTTTCAAATGATCCTTGGATGATTGTGTTATAATCTGATGATGGGTATCGTCCATCAGTGTCCCTCAGCACTGGCACAAGGCCTGTTATTTCCCTAGCCCTTCACTGGCCACGTCTTTACTTGGGCTGTGTAGCTATTTCCTTGGAACTGAAGTTTTCCCTGCTGGAGGGAAGGAAGGGAGTTCCTGAAATTCACCGGAAAGTTCTAAGTACCATAAGGCCGCTCCCTGAGGTTAACTGAGATTACTCTGTTGTTGAGTGGGGGAGGGACTCTTTAGTGTTGCTGCCTGCAGCTTCGGGGAGTCACCAACCGTGGCAGTTGGGCTTTTCAAGAGCGCAGCTGCCCAAGTCTCGCATGTTCCTAAGACACTCATGGATTCACGGTGCTGGTTTGGGTTATGTCAGTGCCTGTCTAGGGAGAAAACACTGTGTATGTCTTCCCAGTTTAAGCATGTCAGTCAGCCACCTTAGAGGAGATTAGCTCTCCTAACAAGGGTGCACCACCACTCAGGGCCTGACTGAAAAGTAAAATCAGTGGGAGAAGCAAGAATTCACCTGATGTCTTGTCTCACTTCTTCATCTGGGACATCTTTCCATCTCTTCTGGCTCTTGGCCTTTGCTTCACACAATCTGTACCCCTGGTTCTGAGGTCTTTGCATTAAATTACTGCAGCAGCTTTCCCAGGCCCCCAGCTCCTAGACTGCAGATTGCAGGACTCTGTACAAATGTATGATGAAATCCTCATCCTCCACTGTTGGGGGCTGAGGGCATAACTGGATGACAGTCTGTTTGTTTAGTCCCAGCACCGTCACATATGCGCAAACCTCTCCTCTTTCTCTCTCTCTTCCTTCTCCCTCTCTCTCTATATATACATATATATAAAAATACATATATGTATATAAACATATATGTGTGTATATGTGTGCATGTTGTAGAATATTATTTTAAGATGTGTTGCATTTGTTTATGCTGTGGAACATTTGTTTAATGATGCAAAGATGTGTTTGTTTCATTTGTTTAACACTGTGAAGTGTGTTACTTTGCCTGTGAAATAAAGGGCTGAACAGCCATTAGCTAGGCAGAAGAAAAGATAGGCAGGACTTGTAGGCAGAGAGAATAAACAGAAGGAGAAAAACAGAGATCAAGGAACAGGATAAGGAAGAGGATTCCAGGGGTCAGCCACCCAGTTACACTGCAGATATAGAATAAGAAGGAAAAAATCAATATACAGAAATAGAAAAAGGTAAAAGCCCACAGGCAAAAGGTAGATGGAATAATTTAAGTTAAGAATAGCTGGCTAGAAATAAGCCAGTGAAGGGAGGACATTCGTAAGTAAGACTAAGCTTACACGTGTGTGTGAGATTTATTTGGGAGCTGGGTGGCGGATTCCCCCAAAGTGTAAAAAGCAAAAATGTGACCTGATGTTACAAATCGAAAATCGCCCATCCAGCCTTCTGAGATGAGTCATGGAAGACAACAGAAAACAGTTCACTGTGTCCCCAGGTGACCACTGACATTAGCTTACAGTAGACCAGACATGTCTGACTGTTCTACAGTCAAATACCGTGCATCTCCTGTCATTTTACAATCCTGCAGATCACGAACAGCAGAATGGCTTCGTGGTTACTCTCCGTTAGCATACACAGCTGCAAGTTCACTGGACCTGAAGAATGCTCAAAGGCATGACTGCTAGGTGGGGGGAGGAAGCTTGATCACATGACTGAGGCTGCTGCTCAGCCTCACCAGAGAGTATCACACAGCATTCCTAGAACTCCACTAGCTAAAAGATGAAGATTGGTTTCTACTGGGACTGGCAAGATTGCTCAGTGGGTTAAGACGCTTTCCACCACATCCGATGACCCGAGCTTAAGGCCCAGGAGCTACATGGTAAAAGAAGAGAACAAGGTACAAGGTAAAAGACTCCAACAAGGTGTCTTGGCCTCCGCACACATGTGTGGGCACACAAACATAAATAAATAGAGTAATAATTTAAAAACATACCATCTTTTGCTAACATTAACACCAAAAGAATCTTAAATTGAAAACTGTGAGCTGGATTGTTTCTGTATAAACCCGTTTTACTGCATCTGTTTCCCTGGAGAATCCTTCCCTTCTCCTTGAACCACTGATACAGATCTGGCCAAAACCATGAAAGGAGGCTACCACAAGTAGGAAGTTTCTGGAAAAGATTTTCCATTATAAGAAACAGGAAGTAGGATCAGTGAGGTTCAATGAGGGCTTGTTGCTTTTCCAAAGTCCTGATTCAGTTCCCAGAATCAAAGTCAAAAAGTTCCCAACCACCTGTAACTCTACCTCTGCGGGACCTTGTGTCCTCTTCTGACCTCATGCCCACAAGCACGCATGTATATATACCCATTCTTAGACACACACACACTCATAATTAAACAATAAACTGTATCTTTTAAAAAGGTTAAGTGGAAGACGTGTAAGAGCACTGGCAGTTCCATCCCCCAAACATGGGAGAGAGAGGATGCGCTGGGGGAGCAGACATCATCCGTGGTCATTGGTGAGATGTCTCCAGATAAAGAGCTAGCAGATGCTGAAAAGGTAGGACCAGAAGACAGGAAGACCAGAAGACAGGAAGGACCCAGACAACCAAGCTATCACTGAGTTTCATCATCAGGAGATGCGTCACAGGCAATAACGGAGTTCTTATTGGGAGTTTTGTTTCTTACAGCTGAAGAAATTTCTAAGTACAAAAGGACTAAACTCAAGTGATAAAAAGAGTGTCTATTAGTGGTGCTGGGTTTCTTGGTTTCCATCAACCAGTTTCCTATATGAAGCCTAAATACTGCTGTTATCAGAAAACAAAGGCACTCCTAATCTACAGCGCTATGAAGCAAACCAATGGCAAGGCATCTGCATGGCCCTGTGTAATGATGGTTTTACCACAAAACTACATGATATACCAGAAAACCACATGTACACAGTCTGGAGAAAACATGCCTGGAAGCTTCCTTCTCATGGAGGGAATTTTTTCTCATAGTTTTACTCATATTTGTGAATAAATTGGAGAATATGAGTACTGAAGAAGGATGAGAGAAGAATCAGGCAAGATACAGTCACTCGCTGCTCATAACAACTGAAAAGGAGCAGCTGATCACAGGAGAGAGGTTCTTGGGGTATTGTATGTATCCCACTTATCAGAATATATTTTAGTAAGTTAGATATTATAATAATATTACCACTTTGCCAAAACCCCCTCTATTTCCCATTTCAAGGGTCTATTGTCATCCAAACCCTGGTGTCAGTTCTGATAACTCATTTGGAAGTGGCCCCGGGTCCGTCCACCCACTGCCCTGCTCATAGCCTGCAGCACTACTGACATCAGCTGTGGGACCCCAGGTCATCTCGGCCGTCATTTACACCCTGGGAACCTCTTCTGTTGGAACACGAAATAGTTTCCCATCTCATTCCCTCAGAATGAACCCAAACCAATGAACAGTCAAGTGCATTTCAACAGGCTCAGGGTCCAACAGTTCTCCAACCCTAACCCCATGCTTGTTCTGTCAGGTTTGGTTCCTAGGAGCTGGATACATTCTTCTTCAAAATCTTCCCAAATTTACTCTGTGGAGATTAAACAAGACACACACGCATTTCACCCTCAACCAATAACATCCTGCTGCTATTTTAAAGAAAGAACCTATTGGTTCCTTTACAAAATCAGAATCCACATATGTCCAGTGGACAGTTTAGCACACAGTTTATAGCATAGTCAGTATAGAGAGAATAAGTCTGCATTTGCTGCCATGATAGTCAGAGCACAATTTCTGACCTTCTTGTCTTTCCCCCCCACTTTCTTCAGATCCCAATTTGATAATTCTGCAACAAAACCCAGCAGTCCATTAAATGTATGAAGAAATAAAAATCTGTTTTGCTCTGACTCATCTTACCTTTGGACAAGCCTTTTCAACTGGAAGCCAGCTAATAAACACACCAACTGACTTCCATTTCCTGGAACTGCTCGGATCTCACAAGGGGCTGACTTTTCACCTGTGAGGAAAAGCACTGTATCGCAATGAACATAAATTCTCTCAAATCTGACTGGGCCTCTACCCAACAGTAAAAGCGGCACATTTCTGCTAGGTAGATCAAGTCATATTTAGAGAAATTTGTGGGATTAGTAACCCAATACTCCATTATACCACTTCCAGTTTGTTTGTATGTTTTTGTATTCCTATAGAGGGCAATGGGTCTCAGATCACTGCTGATTTCTTTGCTCCCTGGTGGAAGGAACTAGCCCTGTGTCTCATGCCGGCCTAGCTGACAGCCTCCTTTCCCCCTGTGACTGGGGTAGATTTCTAGAACCTTTGAGGACTATCTGTTTTTACTGTGACTTCCACAGCACTTGTGTCCATTGTCCAAGGCCCCCGTTTCTCAGGCTCAATTCCCATACCTCCAGGAAAACTTGTCCCTCGTTTCTGAACATTCTATGGTGCTTGTGTTCCAACTGTTTAGAACAAATAGAACAAAACTTTTCTTCTCTCCAGAAGAAATCTTCTATCTTAATACATAAATTGGAATTGTCAGAAGTCAGGGAGAAAGTCTGAGGTATTTTCATGAGTCCTACAGTATCCAGGACAGGTGATAGAATCCAAGATGGAGGCAGTAACTCCTCCCTATGGGAGGGAGTTCTTTTTAGGCAGACCCAGTGGTCTGCCTGAAATGCAGGAAATGCAGCCTGCTCTCTCTGTGTTTCTCTGTCTGCCTTTCGTTCCTGCACGTAATTGCATCCATGCTAAACTGTTCCACAGGTGTCCCCCCACCGCCTCCCACCACGGCTAAGCTGTTTGTGGTGAAATCTGTCTCTCTTTCATTCACGGAACCCTGTTTGTGCCACCGCTGCACTGCGGACATACAATCCAACGACTTGGGGATCCTGGATCTGGACCTGCTGCCACCCACTTCCAACTCTGTCTGTCTGCAGGACAATTGGTAAGATCCCCTTCTCCTGGCCAGCTTTCCCTGACAAGCACCTCCGCCACTTCCCACAAGCAAGGTTCTCATGCTCTGCACTAACAAGGCACTCACCGAGTGGTGCATTTATTTCTCAGGTCCAGGGTCCCCCATATCTACAGATCCTTTTAGGGATCGGCTTCTCCTCTTGGCCTAGTGCCTCTTGGACGACTGCCCTTTCTTGGCCCCCTTTATCTTGTGAACGAATGGATTAACAGCCTGAGCCAATTATTTATTTTTCTGCCTCACCTGTGGGAAACAGGCTGACAAGACACATACATTTCTAACTTCTACCAGCGGCAGGTTCAATATAAAGAGCTACAGCACGTGGACAACCACGACCGCCGCCAGTTTGTTTGAGTTTAATAAAGGGAGGAGCCGCAGACTAGTGAGGTTCCGCCCCCTAGCCAAAGGGCTCAGGCATCAGATTCCCCACACGACCTGCTGTAAGCTTTTAAAAACTACCTTTATGTCCTGTTACATTTGGTGTGTTTGATGATGGTTCACCTTGGCAGGGCCTGCCGAGCCATCCATTACAGGAGAGCTCTGTTCATTGGATCTCATTCCAGACTAAAAAAGCATGTGTACTTTTAAATGTCTCACAACATACTGTATATGTGATCCAGCCCTGCTTGAAAATATATTAAGCTGTTCTCCACTATTGCCAGTTTTACTGTTCAGCTCCTACTGCAAACAGTTTTCCCTTCTTTGTCTTTCACAAGAATAAATCTTACCTGTTAAGTTAAAAGCCAGTGCAGTCAAGCTTGGACCCAGCTCTCCGGGCAGATCCTATGCTGTAGTTATAGCTTATCTATACCTGATAAATAGCCCTCAAGTGCTCAGAGATCTGGGGAATAGGGCATTTAAATGTTTAATTATTAAAAGACTTTTCATAACAGACAGGTTGGCTCCTAGCAGCAACACCCTATTTCCTCCAAAGAAGACAGAAGACAGATGGGCACAAAACAACATCCACCCACAATTAGCTTCATCAAGTGAAAGCGCTAACCATTTGGAAAAACTGCCTTTCATCTAAACTCCTAAAGATCTCCAGACAGTGGAAAGAATTGACTGGAATCGATGGCCTAGCTGCTCAGGGCAAGGTAGGCTTGTCTTCCTACAGATTTCCTAACCCACCGGAACTTCTAAAGCTTTCAAGCCCTGCGTTAGCAGAAGACAAGTAAGGCCCTCGACGACCATGGAGGACCCTGAGGAGTGGCTCTAGGTAGCCAATAGAGTAAGTTCTCTGTCATTTTGTAAGTCAATAACTCAATTTAAAATTTTATCCTTCTCAAAGATCTCTGATGCAATTTGACAACTGAGAGAGGTTTTGTCAGTTTAAAAAACACTAAACGAATCTCAGCATAACTTTTTACTATGTTCTAAATAAAAGGTATTTTAAGGTTTACAAATACAAGTTATTAAGGTTTATACCTGCAAGTTACAAAGGTCTGAAGACAAATGCAGGTTATCAGATTTCTCTCTCATTATGCTGACATTCAGAGTCTTAACATTGTCAATAAAATGCTGATAGCTATCAATCTAATTCTGTCAGAGTACTATACTGCAAGACTAAGATTTGGAATTCTTTTTGGTTGTTTTCAAAAGATACTTTTCATTGTGCAAAAACATCTGTCACAGTCATTCTGGCATAAATATGTTGTTGTTAATACAATGTGTGTGTCTAAAATTTATGTTTTACAAACTCAAAGAACTCTTGTGAGTTCCAGGGAGTTGAATTGAAGGATTCACCTTAAACAGGTCAGATACACCCCTTCCTCAATTCCCTGGTCCTGATATCCTTCTCCTAAATTACCAGGACCTAAAGAAAAATTTTTTCTTCCTAAGCTTAACCTTGTCCTCTGCCCTGCCAACACCTTGCTAGGTCCAAGAAACACTGAACAGTTCCACACCACAAGTCCTGGACAGGAGTGAAACAACCAGCTACGCCAGGGTGTGACCAGCACCCAAGTTTCTCAGGCCCCTCAAGACTCTGACATCCCCAAACCAAGAGAAAGCAGTCTTGAGAACTTGATGGCCCTGTCCCCTTAACCTGCCATGTCTAACTCCTCACCCTTTTTATTACAAGAGAAAGATGGAAATGTCATACTTCTGCTGCCTTCCCTGTCACCTGGGTACCCTGTCCCTTTAAGAAACAAACTCTGCCCACCCTAATTTCCCCCTTCTCACTGAGGCAAGCTGATAGGCACCTCTCCTCTCCTCTCCTCTCCTCTCCTCTCCTCTCCTCTCCTCTCCTCTCTTCCCTCCATAATCCCCTTACCCTTATATCCTTCCCAACACCCACCGAATAAACTTTATACCCAAGCTCTCTCCACATGGTGTATCTGTCTGTCTTCCACTGGCCAGTGTCTCCCACCCACCAAGGGACCTGCCAGAGTCACACTGCCGTAAATCTTTCAGTAGGTTTGTTTGACATAGGGTTAGTTTGGTGAAAAACATGCTGGCTATGAAGCGCAGTAAAAGGCAGGCTATAAAACACAGTATATTTGCATAGGTATTATGGGGTTGGTAAATTCCTTTGCAGTTATATTTATGTTTAAAATATAAACTTGGCACATAATGAGTTTTTTTGTGTAGGAAGTATTTATGGAGTAGAACGTTGTCACCATGAAATCTCTCTAGAAACACCAACAGCGATCTGAAAAGGGCCAACCAGTTGACAAAACAGACCTAAAAGGAAGATTTGCTGAGCGTTATAGTATCAAGTTTAATAGATAGTTCCTTTTCTACTACAAATTTTACTTAGTATTTAAACAAATGTTTAGACCTGTCCATCAAAATCAAACACCACTGTTATAAGAACTCTTATTTAGAATTCTATGAGCTTTCTGTATTTCTGTATTTCTTAAGCCATGCCTTATGAAGTCTCAAGTTACTCTGTAATCCTGTCTTGTGTGTGCCTGGGGCATTTCTCCTAACTTGTCATCAGTGTTGATCCAGGCCTAGTTAGAGTGTGTCCTACAGACCACACGCAGAAACAGGAAGGAAGTCTGTTTAACCTGCTGCCGGATCCATGTAACCTTACTCTTCTGTTTAGACATTCCTAATTCACTGTGCCCTGCAGACTCTGGTGGCGAGCTCTGCCTGTGTGCTGGGCCACGATCATAGCAAATGTTTTCGGCTCACATGTTTAGCAACCGGGACTTCACTTATTGGAAATAAAGGGAGAGGTCAAATGAGTGAGGCCCAACGTCAGCCGTTCTCCACGACACTGGTCCTTTAAGAAGGGGCACTGGTGAGAAGCACACGGCCTGAGGAATTCAGAGTTGTCAGGTATCAGCAGCTTGGCTGCTCAAGATTAAATTAAGACAATCACTGGCAGAACATAAGGTGACGATAGGCAGCTGTATAGCTTGATATCTGAGGGGCAGAGGCACCGTTTCCGTGAGTGAGGCAAGAAGAAGGTTCTGAGGCAGAACTCCAGCATCCCAGAGGTTCACGACGGACCATGGTTCACGCTTACCTTGGGTTGTCACTTACAAGGTTCAGGGGCCACCAGTAAGGGTGGACACAAACCAAACCCCTAGTCATCTCATGGAGTCATCAGGGGCCGGAGCGAGGGGCTTTAAGCTTGGTAGGGAAGTACTGGGTCTTTTTACCTGGGGGAACCACTGCTGAATGATTGCACGTTTATGGAGGCATGGCCAGATGTGTGGGAGGAAACTACCGTTCCATGTTGGACATAAAATTACAGCGATTTTGAGTTGAAAAAGTGACCATATAGAAGAGTTGAAGGTTACAGGATCCCTAGCAGTCCTCAGCTGCAAGGGAGAGCCTGCCGAAGTCATAGAATCAATGAAAGGTTTATGATGGCATGACCCTGGCAGGTCCCCTGATGGGTGCGAGAGCGCAGTGGGTGGGAGACGGACAGATATGCCTTATGGAGAGAACTTGGGTATAGAGTTTATTTAGTGGGTATTAGAAAGGATATAAAGGTAAGGGGGGGATATGGAGGGAAGGTGGGGAGGTCTCAGATCAGCTTTCCTTGGCAGGAAGGGGAGGAGATTGGGGTGGGCGGAGCTTGTTTCTTAAAGGGACAGGGTACCCAGGTGCCAGGGAAGGCAAGCAGAATTATAATACCTACCATTGTCATTTTTCTAATAGCAGGCACTATATTCACGGCACAGAATTTCTGTATCACATTTTGGTAATTCTGCAATTCTTTTTTTGCCTTTTTAAAAATCATTACTAAATTGGTGACGGCAATCTTTGATCGTTACATTTGGTGTAACCATTTGTGACTGTTATGAACCAGTAGCTGTCAGGAAACAACAGGGGAGAGGAAGCCATACTGTGGCTCACAATTTGAAGAACCCGAGTCTATCCTGATATGGAAGGTAAAGGAGCTTGCAGCTGTGGCAGTAAGAGGACGAGGCTGCTGGATTAAGCCTCTGCTGACAAGAAAAGGGGAATGTTGGTGCATATCTGGCCGTCTCCTTTATTCATCTAGGACCACAGCCCACAGCACCATGCTATCCACACCCAGGATAAGTCTTCATTTCCCTCTTTTTTTTTTCTGTAAATGTCTTTGTAGATATCGTCATAACACACACACATAGGAAACCACTTGGTAAAAGTTAATCACAACTACCCCACTGATCAGAGGGGTTTTTTTGTTAGGTACCTTTCCATTTTTGTGACCAACTATCTGAAAAGAAAGAAGAGGAGTGTGTTACATCTCAGTTTGCAGAGGCACAGTCCATGTGGTTGGGAAGTCACGGCAGCCAGAGTGGTTTATAGTGGCTGCAGGAGCAAGGCTGCTAGACTGCCTCTCAGCAGACCAGAAAACAGATGAAGAAGGATAGCATCCTTGACTTAATTCTCCCTTTGGACTCAGCACAGGATCGCAGTATGGAGGATGAAGTCACCCACATTCAGGTGAGTCTGTCTTCCTCAGCTGATTGTCTCTAGAGACGCCGTCAGAGACCAGCACAAGCATGTCAGCCATGCTGACAAGAAAGGCTAACTGTGAAACATGCTCATAGAAAGGGAAACTTTATTCATGAAGACACTGTCTGCTCAGTTGCAGGATGTGAAAGAATCGAGCTGTAACTGGGCTGGAAGCTTCCTCCCTGGTAGCTGGCTCCCACGGTGTTGGAAGATGCCGGCTATGCAGGCTGTGAGCAGAAGTGTCACTAACACTTGCTCAGCCATGGGCTCTGCCTGCTGTGTCACTGACTTTCCAGTCAAGATGTGTATGCTGGTGCAACAGTCGCAAGACTGTCATGGGGTTAACTATATATCTGTTTCATGATAGTATTTGGGAGCCTTTCTACAGGAGAAAATATATGTCTGGGGCTATACACCTGACCAAAAGACACTGTAGGTTCTATTGGTATAGCTAATGGTTTTTGTTAATGTTGTTTGTTTTGCCAGATGGGCATGATGTGCCCATTAAATTGCCTTCTAAATATTTTTGTTTATGCGATTTCTGTTGGCTTTGTTATTCTGAAACATTTCTTTCTTTCTTTCTTTTTATAGCATACCAACAGTCTCTGCAGAGACTCATAACTGTCACAGCGCTAAGAATAAGAGACTGGTGAGTTGCTCATCCCTAAGTAGGGCAGCTGTACCAAAGTCTCAAGGACTATCACAGAAGAAGGAGTAGAAAGACTGTGCAAGCAGGGTGGGGTGGTGTGCTGCGGAACCCTGGTTCCAGCCAGGCAGTCATGACATGGCCATTGCTCTCTGGAACTCCCTGGAACTCCATCATGCTTACCTGTGTAAGACCTGCATGAGAGTGGGAATTTTAACATTTCATCAAGAGGGAGGTGCTGATGAGGTTACCGCTCCTAGAGATCTTATAAGCAGTTAATGGATGCTAGGGAGAGATGTTTTCCTCAGTGATATTACCAATAGGTAAATTGTCTGTGCTTTTACAAATAGCCCCTCACCCACGGTCCTCTAAGAAACCCTAATTAATCTCACTGGTTGAATAGAGAGAGAGAAAGAAAAGAAAGTAGAAAAAAAGCTAATAATGAAATTGAAACACCAGAAGATAATGATATAATAGAGGAATATGATAAAATTATATAATTTGTGTATATTAAAATGGCATAATGAAAAAACATTTGTATAATTAATATATGCTAATACTTTAATGACAAAGTTTATCTGTAAATGTCATGTGTTTTCTAGGTACTCCAGACTATCTCACCATCTCCCTTTCCTTGGGCCCCTCTCTCCCTAGCCATGGGAAGCATCAGGTCCAGTAATAGCCTCTAAGTGTACAAAGGAAAGAAGAACCACGCATGTCTCCCTTTAAACCTATGTGTAACGAGGAGGGCATGCCAAAGGATGAGATGAGCTCCTCTTGAGCCAAACAGCCGAGTTATAAATATAAGGAAAGAGTCTCGAAGGAAATTCAAAGTGCTACTCCAGAGAACAGCCAAATGATAAGAAAACAAAACAGTTTTACTGCCAATATGAAAAATTTTAACAATCTGGAGCGAAAAATCAAACCAGCTACAGGCTATTCCAGAGCAAAGTCTTAAGTTTTAATTCTATGAAGACTGGACGGTGTAGAAGCTACAGAAATACAGTCAGAACCTAAAAGATATTTGTCCACGAGGCTGAAGAGGGAAAAGCCGTTTGTGGTATGGAATCATCCAGTTAGAAGCAAAACCACTATGCTAATGACCAATCCAGGAGCTGCGGCTAAGGTCGTCGGGGAAGGTGGCCATGCAAACAAGAGGTTTCCACTGCCTGTCATCAACCTTGTGTTGAAAAAGGATACCATGTTGGACTTTCATAGCTGGAGAGACTCCAACCCACGCCTGGCACCAAAGCATCAAAAGAGCCCGACTCTCCCTAGAGGACAATGCAGCTGGCTGTCTTGGCCTGGAGCCAGCGCTTGTTTGTCACCCCAAAGTCCCTATGGACAGTACGAGTTCCACTGGCTCTGTCTCTCCGGGCTGTGCTGGAGCTCATGTCTTTATAGCACGGCTTACTGAGTAGTTCAAGTGTGCTGTTGAGAGCTTCTGCTCAAGGAAAAATTGCTTTCGAAATATTATATTTGCTGTTTACCCAAGAGCTTAGAAGGAGGGGTGTGGTAAGGCCAGTGTGATTTCTAGACATGATAACACAAAATCCATTCTGCAGATTGAGGAATAATTCCATATTTAAGAAACACTGTTCAAAAGGCCACCATTACCACAGGAGAACTGAGACAAGTTGAGTGAAAACTTAGAAAGGGTTTTCTAGAGACCAATCAGAGATCACTCTAGAGACCATTAAAAAACTTGGTGACTCACAAATAGCTTGAAATGTTCCAGTTCCCATGCATGACTTTGAGAGGATCTAGATTTCAGTGGAAGAGGTGGTAGAGAGAGCCTGAGAACTGGACATGACTGAATTCTGCAGTCCTGTAACAAACTTTAATAAAGAAGTGATTGCTTTGTATAGATGAGTACAAGCGTGGGTTCCCAGCCTGGTAAAGGCGCCAGCAAAGACTTAGGGTGTTATAATACTGAGTTTGCAGGCAGCGGCACAAACTTCTGCTTTGAATGAAGTTCTGCTGTGGGTAAAATGCTTCCAGCAGACTGTCAGTAACAAAACGATTTGATGTGACATTCTGGACTTGTCTTGTTTGCAGTAAGATGATCCAGCCTGCGGCAATCACTACCCCCACCACCGAGCAGCCACTACGTGGACGCAAGGTCTCTGTCAGCTACAAGAATATAACCCGCTGGAGCCTCAGATGATTCTGAGTAGATCTTAATTAACAACATCGTATTTGAGAGTAAGGTAAATATACATTGGGTTTAGACATGCATATTGTGTAGACTGTACACTTAGCAGACAACAGTAAAGCATAGACATACATCTCATATACACAGGGAAAGCCCAAAGAAACACGTGACTCACTTCACTGCGATTGCTGTCTCATTGCAGGCTGGAAAGCTAACTGTATCCACAGGCTCGTGTGTTTGAATGCTTTAGATCTTTAGAGGGAAGTCACGCTTTGAGGGACCGCGAATCCTTTGCAGCTATGGCTTAGTTAGCAAAAGTGGGTGGTTTGTGGCAGTTCTTAAAAGCGCCGTCTATTTTTGTGTTGTTCCCACTGCCCACAACTGAGCTATGGCACTGTGCCATCCCTCTGTGATGGACTGACATGCCCTGAAACGGAAGCCAGAACAAACCCTTCCTCCACGAATTTGGTTCTACTCTTTATGAGTGTATATGCTCTTTATTCGGAATGGTCTGGAATGGAACACTCATTGTGTCGGATGTACACTGATATTCCAATTCAAAGATAGAATTTGGATAATAAAATGTGACAGAGGTTTTACTGATACGATGTGATAGGCATCATGTTCTAACATGCTCTTCTTAATCTGTTTGCTTTGTGGTGAGTTAATGCGGTTGTATGGTACAGCATGTGACAGGAGGAGAGGACACAGTAAAGAAAGGCACATGCCTTGCTTCCGTGCTTTAAAACATGATGCAGGACTGACAGGCGTGGGACAGAGGACACTACACGCTACTGCAGCTAAAAAAGCAATCCACAGCTGGGAAAGAAAGAAAACGGCAGACACCAGAACTCAGTCTTCAGAGAGAATAAAAGTTGCTAATAGATTCTGAAGGCATCTCAGTGCTCAGTGCTAAATGCCAGGTATCTGACCTAAATTCATAGTGAACCCTCACAGTGCCTCTGTAGGGAAGTGTAACACCTGCGTTACTAAGTTACTCTTGGTCCAGTTCGTGTGCAACTGTACCGTTCACGAGCCAGGCAGGGGCCTGGAGATTGAAAAAACACACAAGAGACCTGGGTCATTCCTGAGGAGATAATGCTGAATGCCTTTTATTCAAGTTTAGGAAAAACCTTATATCCCTAGCTGCTGCACAATGGAATTCGCCACAGGCAGGTGGGAAATTACCACACCCAAGGTGGAGTCAACAATGCCCTATAGCTAATCACAGGGTGGGGGTGGGGTAAAGGGAGCACAGGAACAAACAGGGATTTAGCTAGAAAATGCAACAAAATGTCTGGCCAGAAACTGTCCGCAAGATGAGTCCTGAGAGGAGAGGCAGACCCGTGGGCTCTATAGGGAAGGCTTCATTATCTTACTTTACAGGCGAGTTTCCTTCAGGGCGAGTCCTAGCTGTACCGCTTACCAGCTGGGCAGTCTCAAGTACATTTATTCTATAATAATAATAATATTGATCTTCACTTTCCAAGCCCACAAAACCGATACAAGTGATGCTGTGGTTGTGTGTGCGAGTCACTTCACACAGGGTCTGGAACCATCTTAGAGAGTTAGCTCTAAGATGTTGGTTGTTGTTGCTTTTATCAGTGAGATCACGCCTGGGAAACAACACCTTCGGAAGGCGGCGGCACACCCATACGCAAGAGGTCTCACTCTAGGGAAGCCACCTCAGCTCGCATTCTATGGTAGAGATGTAATTTCTCAGAGAGGAAAATGGGGCCCCAAAATCTCATTTTCTAATATAGTAATGGTCATTAACCTTTTGCTCAACCTAAATGAACTCTGATCAAGTTACAAAGACATCTATTCATATGAATTTTTTAAAGGAAGAAAAAAATTAAGAGGCCACTTTTCTGTTTCCAACCTGATGCTCTGTGTGGCTCAGTATTGCATGACACCACGGAATATTAATGGTAAGAGAGTGCCTGCTGCAGGGCAGTGCATGGCATTTCCATCCAATAAATGTCATTTTGTGACAACTTAGACACAGGGGGAAGAGCTCTTTCTAGATGTTTGCAAAACCAGATTAAGGTTTTGGATTTAAGGAAGGTCAATGAGGCAGAAAGCAAAGGCACAGTTGCAGGGCTGCCAAAGCACTTCTGAAAGCAGAAGATTAAGACAAATGCTCACCAGATCCCCCAGGGAGATCTGTATGTGTGTAGGGAATATTTTGGCAGAGTCTGGGAGGTAAGAGATACGCCCTCCGGATGCATCACGGAGTAATGTTCTCCGTAAAGTTCTGAGCTGCCAGGTGTTGGTTTAGTTTTCTGAGCATTTGCCATCTTGCTTTGGAGAGAAGGGAGGCCTGAAAGGGGTTTTGCTATACTTATAGAAGTAATAAAAAAAATGGGGTAAAATTTGATGAATAAGTACTTAGATGTGTAAGGTCACAAAATATTTCAGAATATTGCCTCGGATGGTGCTCCTAGAATTCAGTTACATCTAGACCTTGGGTGTTACCTACAATCTTCTGTATTATTTACTGGAGCTGATGCTTTCTCTGAGGGGGAGACATGGTTGATTTTAGTAACAGGAAAGTAAATTTAAGGCTGAAGGTATTGAAAGACCTTGATAAATCCAGATCCCCCTAGCAGGAAAACATAGAGCCAAAAATCTAAGCAGGGAGGGAAGAATCAGAAATCTAGGATTAGCCGGTTCAGTTTCAGGAACTAGCTGAAGATAAAGTTGGATTGTAATCTTGAGAATAATCTTGAGAAACAGGGAGTTGCCCCCTCGTGATCATCACTGGACCTCCCTACCCCTTTTGGATTACTGGGCTGTGGTTTCTTCCCTTAAAGACCCCTTCTCCCAGCTACTCGGGGTCGAACTCTTCCCCTGCGTGGGTTCTGAGTCTCGGCCCCAGTGCACTGGTTCCCGTCTTCCCGTCGATTAAACCTCATGTGATTGCAGCAAGGACGGTCTCTCGTGAGTTACTGGGGAGGTCGTGTTATCCCGAGACTTGAGTGAGAGTCTCCCCATATCGGGGGTCTTTCAGTATGACTACATGGTAGAGAACTTGCCTGGCACATGCAAAACCCTGAGTTCAATTCCCAGCACCACTGAAAAATGGAAAAGGTAATGAACACAGATCTAATCCCTATGACAGGACTCTTGGGCCTCCTATCTTCTGAGTGCCCAGTTCAGCAGAGCCAACACTGAGTCAAGTGCTATCAATTTATATGTGTGAATATGTGTTGTGGGATCATCTTTTTGTATGCTTTTTGTCACTCAGACTGGTATAACACAAAGCTAAGTAGTCGATAGGTAGGACTTTTGAAGCACAGAAGACTTCCTTCTTCCCAGTGGAAGAAGGGCAGAGTCACCAGTGGAAGCAGAGGGAACAGACATGCAGGAAAAGAGGCAAAAGGCACAAGTCATGTAGCAATACATAGAGGAATAAAAATGAGTAAATTTAAATTATCAGAGTTAGTTGTAAACAAGACTAAGCTATTGGTTGGACTTTCATAATTAATAAGATGTCTTTGTGTAGTTTCTTTGGGAGCTGGCTGACGGGACAGAGAAAGACTAGCAACACACATACGCACAAATACCACTCACAGTGTGTGTGGTGGCAGTGGCTGATCTGTTGTGGCTGTGCTGGTCTTGCCATATAAGAAGACAATTATGTGATACATGTGTAGGTGATAATATATTAGTAGTCTGGATAGGTTTGCTTTATTAATTATGTTGATTTTATTCAATAGTAAGATTCCATACCTTTGTTAATTTTTTTGTGCCAGAAAGACATAAACAAACACAGAAATTTCACCCACGTTCTTTTGTACATTAGACAGAGATGGACCTTCCCAATAGCAAAATCACCTATGTACCTTGTTTTCTCAGATAGTGAAACTCTAAAAATATTTTTTATATCTGAGGAGATGTACTGGTTATGCATATAATAGGAAGGGACTTGATCGCAACAAACCCCGAGGACATACCTTGGGAGATTCTGGCTTTAAAAAAATGTGACAGAATCAAAGAGAAAATAACCTCATTTGAAGAACAATGTGAAAGTATTAGAAACGCTTTAAAAAGTTGTGTTGAGAATAAATGAAGGAAGGAAGCTCCAGTGTGTCTCTTTATCTAATGACGAGCTCTGTTTAAGGAGATATGTGAAAAGCTAGAATCTCTGGGTAGCGCACTAGAGACCATAACCCCACATCCTCCATACAGGGGCTCGGCCTGATGAGCCACACCACATGAGTGTCTGGAGCTAACTGTGGGAGAGGGAGTAGATGAATCCTTTGTGAACTGTTTCAGTTAACTGTGAAGGAAGTCATCACAATCTCATCTTAAATTGCCCTTGAAGCACAAGGTACCATGGGCTATGTGTGGCTCAGTTTGTACGAATGATCCCCTGTTGCCTTTGGTAAAGACAAGCTCCATTGCCTCTATTCTTTTTCTTTTCTTTTCTTTCTTTCTTTTTTTTTTTTAGAGGAATAGCTATTTGTGTACTGCAGTCTAATGAAGTTGCTACCAGAACAAAACAAAAATCCCAAGAAAATAAAATTTTTACCTCCTTCTGTGATTTTTATAAAGGAATTGGAAACTGCCCGAAATCCATCTTCATATAGAGATGCAGGAACTTCCTGGAGCAACACATATTGCAACAGTCATGAGCATTAGTAGAGTGCATGTCCTTTTTGCCCGTTTAAGAGAATATCCTTCCTCTACCCGCCCCGATGCTTA